ATATACAGAACTAGTTGTGCGTACAATCAAGGCTTCACCTTTGTACCCTTCATCATAATTGTCATGAAGAATAGCAACACTGTGAATATTGCTTGATTCATCCTTGAAGTTCTATTTCTTTTGTGTAGATGATATCTTCCATCCCGTCCTCTTTCTCTATATTCATAATAGTTAATCTTAGTGGAAGCTTTAGATTTTGAATGTAATTTTCCACTATTTCTACTTTCTTTTTCTATTATACTTCCCAACTAAACAGTCAATTCTCAAGTCACTTCCAATAGACCAATACTCTTTTTCAGTGTAGGTTCCTAGTGCTCTACATGCTATGGAAATATCCCAATGTTTTACCCCTTTAGTCTAGTCTTTGTCTTGGAGGCATGCTCCGAGATTTGAATCCAAAAGATTGCTTCCTCTTTGCTCGTTGAGGAAGTTAATTAAGGTGCTGTTTGTTTTTCCTAAAAAATCACTTCAAACCATTTATTGTTGCGCCGCACAGCACACGCGCTGCACTTGACCCTTCGCAACTATTTGTTTTTCAGAAGACTTCTGCCTTAAAAACTGTCGCACGTATGTTGCTTGGCGCAACACTTGACCATCTGCTTCAAACATCTTCACACATTACTTTAATTTATTCCAACAGTTAGAGGTTAAAAAACAAACATACTTTTTATTACATGTTGCAGCCGTTTGGTCTCCCTCTTTTACTACAGAAGGTTGCAAAGGTGGTCCGTAGACTTCAAACATTTTCGTTTCGAAAAAACGAATAGCACCTAAGTGAAGGTTCTCCTTTGAAATGAAAAGGTGCTCTCATATCCTTTGTAGTTCAAAAGAACTAGAATATTATTCAATTATATTTTTGATTGGTTATAATAATTTATTTTCGAATTCTTATACTTACAAATATTCGTCCCACATATAATTACATGTACCATTTCCTGGAAAGTATATGTGCTCAAAAAAATAGGTATTAGTTTAGTGTCTTTTTGTTTTTGTGTACCACAGCCAGATAAGGATAGACGGCAACGGCAAGTTCGCTCATATCACCACCCCACGATTCTTCTCTTTTTTTTTCAGCTCAAAAGTTGAAGAAACCAAATTAAACCGTTGCAACCACCTGGCCCCAATTCCCTTTTCTATTTAAATCACTCAAAAACTCTCAAATCACATTCATCTCTGTCGTTTTCTCTCTCTCTCAATTCGAATTTGAATTCAAAGTTACATCTCACATCAGATACCAGAAATGGGAAGCTTCGAGAATCAAGTGAAGGAGAGAGTTGAGGAGCTCAAGAAGTTTTTCTCAAAAGGTGCGAAGATTGTTGGAGATTCCTGTAAAAAAGGATGGCACAAAGTTAAACATATTCGCAAGTGATTCTTGATTTGTATTTTGATGGTGATCATTTTTTTGTTCTTAACGTTTTGAATGTTTCGATTTGTATGTTCTGTTTTTCGGATTGTTTTAATGGATCTTCAGTTACAATGATATCTCTCTCTTTCTCTCTCCCTCCGTGTGTGGAATCCTGACAGATCTGACATATTTTGACATGTTGTTAAACATCGATTTCATCTAAAATTCACTTCAGAATTCAGATTGTTAACCCGTGGGCTTAAAATGATAGCTTCTTTGACATTTTTGTTTTAAGTGTAAAGCAAGCAATAATAGGTATATCTAAAAAATATATGAAATTATGAAACTAAAATCTTGATTTTTGAAGTAAAATATATCATCTCGTATCAATCTTTGGTAGCAAAAATTTACATATTTTTGTGTAAGTTTTATGTTAGGATGAACCTCGTTATGAGAAAACAATTTGTTAGAAAATTTTAGAGGTATTAAAAATTTATAACAGGAGGTTACGGATTTTAAATTAGCTATAGACACGGGAATGATAAAGAAAATATTACGACTTTATGTGGACAACGTTTTCAATGTGAATGATAAAAATTGAATAATGTGGCACCAAGAACTCCACTATCACAAAATCAAAAGTAAAGTACAACTTTAAGTAAATGTTCAATTGAGAGATAAACCAAAAAACCTAATGCAACACCTTTAAAAAAAATAACAGGTTGTCATGTAAAACTTTTATCAACAAAGGTGCAACAAAATTCACAAGATATAAATGAAAATTTGACTACCGGAATATGATCTTCATCTTTCAAACTAAACAAACATTAGTTGATGTAACAAAGTATAAAGAATAGCTCAAATTAGGGTCCCTCTCGAGTGGATAAGTGTGACTCCGAGAACCAAGATCGCAAAGGAAAGGCTTGGGTCAGCAGTAATTTAGGATGAGCCTGCGATTACGCTCTATTGCAAGCGCATACCCTTAGGCATTGATGAATGTAAGAGTAAGCATTTGGAGAGTTTCCGAGGGAGCTTGAGCTTGAGCTTGAAAACTAAGGCCCTAGTCGAGTTTTCTATTCAAGTCGATTTTCGAGCTTTGCAGTACTCGGTACATCCAATAGTTTTGTTCTAGAAATAGGTTTATCCGTACATCCAACTGTTTTGTTCTAGAAATAGGTTTATAGTCTTAACAAAAATCTTTAATTTCAATTGATTATTGTTTAACCATTGGATCAAAATAAAATAAAACGAAAATATCATGAATATGGGTAGGGTGAGCATTTGGATCGGACCGAACCGAACCGAACCAGACTTTTTTGGACCCTGGGTATATTTAGAGTTTGTATTTTCTGAAACTCTTTAAACAAGCATATCTCATTCGGTTTAAGTCAGACATGCCTTTTTTTTTTCCTAATGTGTAATTTAGAGTTTGTAGATAATTTTAAACTATAATTTTGTTGTTTTTGGTGTTATATTCGATGAGTTACAATCCTTCAAATACAAGATGTCAAAACTGAAATATTTCAGATTTCAGCAAAAATTTAAACTTTTGTATTCTATAAAATTCTTTAAACAAGCATATCTCATTCGTTTTAAGTCGGATTGAAATACAATTTTTTTCAACATGTAACTTAGAGTTTGTAGATGATTTTAGACTATAATTTTATTATTTTTGGTGTTACATTTGATGAGTTAGAATCCTTTAAAGATGAGATATCAAAGTTGAATGTAACAGCCCAAAAATCCAGATAAAAATTTTCATTTCTAAATAAGGTTTACAACCATAAGTTTGATACTATAAATCTATTACGTAAAAACCATCACATAAAATCATCTGAGTATACATATCAATGCATGCAGAAAATAGTGGAGAGTGCATGTTGCGCCATCAAGTCGGGCCCTTCCCCTTGGAACCACATGCACATGAAATCACAATACAACTGTAAGCAAACGCTTAGTGAGTTTCCCAAAAATAACACATGCAATACACCTGAATCACAATACAACTATAAGAAAACGCTTAGTGAGTTTTCACAAAATAACACATGCAATACATACAAATAGGCCTAGCCCTGGGGTTCATTCCAACCCAAAACAAGTATGCGCCCCCGCCTTGGGGACTTGCCCTAGGTATATTTAAACCCAAACAGATTGCAGTGGGCACCACCCTAGGGTATATTTTAACCTGTCATATCATATTGGGTCCCCGCCTTAGGTATATTTCAATCCAATCACAACATATAACATACAACAACTAGCATACAACATAAATGAATATTGGGTCGACCTTGGTGCCTTAGACCTAAAGTTATGGTGAGAAGACTCACCTCAGTCTGCTGAGACAATAACTGCTCAGTTACCGATCCAAAAATCTCACACTGAATAAACATACAAATTACCCTAATTAGGATTATGACACAACCTAGCTAAAGGCCCAAAATTCTAAGTCCAACATCCTCTACTAAGGCCCATATGACTTACTTCCTAAATGGGCCCGCATTCAAGTTCCAAAATAATAATGGACCATAAGGCCCAGTAGGCTCAACCTTAACTTCCATGGCCCAAAAAATAATGTCTAAGGCCCAATTACCTTAATTGAACCATGCCCAAATGGATCAAAAGCCCACCGAAAGCCCAACACCCACTGAAGGCATACACCCAGCGTACCACCTTAGTACGCTTAGCGTACTCGACTCTGAGGTGGTACGTGCAGCGTATAAGGTAGTACGCCCAACGTACAAACAGCTTATGACCCAATAGCCATTAAGTACTTAATACGTGGAAACTCAACGTCCAAAACTAGATATGAGTCGATTAAGAGGTCCTAGGGCATAAAGTTGGCAACTTTATGCTCTTGCATACCACATGGGAACCCAACAACTCATTTAACCCATTAAGACCCCTTTTAAGACCCTAAATTCATACATGGAGTCATAATAATCACCAAGCTAGCATTTTTATGCTTTCAATATGCCTAAAGAGCTTGGATCTAACATCTCAACCCTCTGGAGTTGCCTAAACTTGCAAAAGAGGGTTCATGGATCAAGAAAGGAGTTAAAACCTAACCCTACCTCAAACTAGAAAAAACAATAGCAAGGTATGAGCTTTTTACCCCCACAATCTCCCCGAGATACTCTAGATTCAGGATCCAAAAGCTCTTCCCGCATTCAAAGCTTGTTCGCTACTTCCTTCTCCTTGCTAGCACACCAAATGGGGGGGGGGTATTTTAGGAAATTCAAGCTCAAGAATCACTCACAAAAGATTTAGGGTTTTAGAGACGTTTGAAAGCAATGGAGGCTGGTAAGGAAGGGGGTCCAAGGTTATAAATAAGCTTAAATAAGGTATAAGTCCAATCATTAGGGTTTTAGACCTCGGCCTCGTACGCCCTGCGTCCGAGCTTGTATGCCTCGCGTACGAGCCTAAGCCACCCGATGCATTTGCTTATGTATGCTAAGCGTAGACATATGCACGTCCAGCATACGGAGGGTCCTCAAATGCTATAAATTAAATACTTCAAGGGTTAAATGAAATGCTTGGATTTTTTAATGTTACAGCTCTCTCCCACTCTATTTAGACTTCGTCCTCGAAGTCTGCAGACGCAAATATGGTGGCATCTCACACCCGACTTGCTAGATGCGAACACAGCCACCCAAATATGGTGGCATCCAGCGGATGGGTTTCGGTGGTCACAGCAGCGACTGAATCAGAGAGGGAAAAAAGTCATTCACGGCGAGGGGTTATCGTGTCCGTCACTGCAATGACCACGATGGGTCACAATACCGAATCTCAAAATTATTCGCAACCCTCGTCTTCGAGGTCAGCAACATTGACGACGTCTCGGAGTGCTGTTAACTTCTTAACAGATGGCAACGGTGGAATGGTTGGCGGAATCGCAGCAATGGCGACGCACCAGAACCGCTCTTCTTTAACCATGAAAGGCAGCAGTGACGGCCATGGTCTGTCATCGTTGGCAATGGAACAACACCCCCTGAATGTCTTGCTAGTAGCAGCAGTTCACGGTGGACTTTGGTGGTCGATAGCGGCGGCTGAAAGAGACGGAAGCATAAGGTGGCGGTTGGGAGGAATATTAGGGTTAGGGTTACATGGGGTGTTGTGGCTATGATGTTTATATATGGAGGCTAACAAGGTGACGGGTTCCACCCGTATCCATCTTCAACCATTTGTGTATTTTACACGTTTAGTCCCTATCCATAAGAAATCTTTTCAACTTAAATCTGACCTTTACTCCTTTAGTCCCTGTCTCTTAAAATCCTTACAAATTGAGTCTGTATTATTTACCAAGCAACCCCTGCTTCCATAATTCCTTACATTTTAAGTGCAAATAATACCAAATACCTCCTGACTTCTAAAATCCTTTGCAAATTAAATCCTGAAATTATACTTTAGCCCTCGAAAATCAAAATTATATCATTTGGCCTTCCGAAACAAACACCCCACAAATTATTAATTAATTTTTGAGCAATAAAAATAAAATTACTACTCAGGTTTCGGATTTATTATTTAACAATTTTATTTTAAACGGGATGTTACGGAGAAATACAAGGAGTGGATGGTTGTGTGGCTATATTTGGTAGGCTAGAGGCAGGAGCATGCAAGGTGATGGGATCGATCCAAATAGATTCAATAGGTGATTGTGATGAGGAAGATGATGGTGAGTGGAATGGAAGGGTTTGAGGTGTTTGAGTTTCTACGAGTAATAGAGACGACGGAACATGATCAAATTAGAGCGAAGATGAGTGGTTCAAGTCATCATGACAACCCATGTGTTATTGATTACATATCACAAGCCACAATTATTGAAGGTGGTGGGTGAGGGGGGAGTGACAGGAAGGGATAAAGGTTATGAACATGGAGTATCATCTTGAAAAGTGACCATAAGAAGATCATTAAGTGATGTATGAAAGGAAGATCCACAAAGGGGAAATGAGAATTCATCAAACTTAGCATATCAGGTGTAAATATGGGATGAAACAGGCTCAAGACATAGATAGCGTTTATATTGTTCGGAGTATCCAAGAAAGATACAAACTAGGCTTCATAGAGACAATTTATGATCCACATAGTTCGGAGTATCCAAGAAAGATACAAACAGGCTCAAGACATAAATGTGACTTATTTTGTAACACCCGATTAGGGAGACGAAAACTATGAAATGGAATACATTAACCTATTAAGAAGAAGGAATGTACCCACTAGATAACATAGAAAGCCCGGTTTCAACAATGTGACAGTGCTTTCGCTCCTTCCTCCTGTTTTGTTGTAGGGTGTACAAGCAAGAAATGCGATGAAATGTTTTCACGCAACTCACGAACATGATGATTTATATATTATGTGCCCTCGTCACTTTGAAAGGCCTTGATTTTTGAGGAAAATTATGTTTGAACAAAATTGATAAAAGTCCCAAAAACCATATGAAAACTTGACTTGGTTTTGAGAGGATAGAACCACATAAATCTCGAATAATCATCCACGAAGAGAGCATAATAGCAATAACTATCAATAGAATCCATGGGTGACAGTCCCTATAAATCACAATAAACCAAATCCAACACATGTAAAGCTCGTTTATCATTAATTTTAAAAGGTAAGCGATGTGCTTTAGCAAGTTGACAAAGAGAACATACAATGAGTGACGGTACTAAAGATGTCACCAACAAGTGTCCTGATTTATTTAATAGAGAAATATTGTAAAAAGAGACATGACCCAAATGGGAATGCCAAAGTTCATATGATGCATTCACTCTTGAACGTGAAACACCTGTAAGTGCTTGAGATTCATGAGAGATAACATATAGTCCTTATTCACATCGACCCTTTGCTAGAACCCGCTTCAGTGCTTGATCTTGAATGAAAAAATTGAGTTGGGAAAAAAATCCACATTTTTATCAGCTGTCAACTTTCTAATAGACAATAAATTCATGGTCATTTTTGGGACTACCAATACATCTTGTAGTTAACATTATTATGAATGATAGATTAACCAACATGGGAGATGCGAAGAGTATTACCATCTCCAAAAAAAAACCTTTGCATGGCCATCATAGGGAGCATGTTGTGTAACAGAATTTATGGAAGCCATCATATGATCCGTAGCTTTGGAATCAAGAAACCAATTTGGAGTATTTGTGGTAACATGACACCGAGCATGGAAAGCTTTTGCTAAATCCGTATACATATCGAGTCTATGAGTGGCATGGGAAGAAAGATGTGGACATGTATTGGCATAATGACCATCCTTACAACACAACTAGAAATGTGGAGGATGGCGACGGCGACTATGAACACCCCTATTAAACCAACCACCATGATCACAGAAGGAATTTGGTGGCCTGGTGTCAGGTGTGAATGCTACAGCAAGAGAGGTAGTTCTGTACAAGGACTGTAAAAATAATTCATGTGCTTTCTCCTGGGCAAGAAGATCTTAAAGAGTAGTATAAGATCGAGAAGCATGAACAATAGTAGAGAAAGTATCAAAAACAGACCCAATGCCACATAAAAACTAGTGAACTTTGTCCGACTCATCAATCGGGTGACCAGAAGTAGATAACCGATCACAAATAGATTTACATTTACAACCGAAATCGGCAACAGTAGACAAACCTTTGGAGTTTTGGCAAAGTTGATCACACAATGGTTGAACACACTCAATTTAGGAATTGTTTTAAGCATGTTTAAGTGGATTCCAAATCTGATGGGCAGTAGATGAGCCAACGATTTCTTAGAATGATTCCTCGGTTAGATAGGCTTGAAGGAGAATGATTGCTCGCTGACAGCCAAGATCCAAGAAGTAAAAGTCGGATTTGGTGCAGGTTTGCAAACACATATAATTTAAAGGATTGGTTTTGGGAGAGTTCCATCGACATGTCCCACAAGAATTTGATATATGAGAAGAGGGATAATTTGGTTTTTTCAGAGAAGATAATTAGAGGAAAATAATCCATTGATGATAAGATGAAGGATGGTGTTCATTGGGGAGGGTAGATTCTTCAGATGAAGCCATAGATAGGGAACAAAGAGGAAATGAGAAGTAACATAGGGAAGAAGAAGAGATACAAATGGATTGATTAGGGAAGAGAGGGAGCTGACCTAAGCTTTGATACCACGAGAATGTAACTCGTCACACCAAATAAGGTGGAGAGACATTAGATTTATACAAAAACAATATACAAGATATATCCTTAAAGAATTAGTAAACATATAATTACATACACACAGTATAAAAGATGTATAGGAGACTTGATTTTGTCTAATAATATACTTGTACATTTTATGGGTTGGTCAATTTCTAGCTTGGTTAATTACTTTCCCCATTTTTGATCAATTTATTATGGGAAATATGCATAAAAATCCTTATATTTTGACTTTATTGACAAAGAAGCCAATCATGTTATATATATATATATATATATATATATATATATATATATATATATATATATATATATATATATATATGGGAAAAGTGAATACACCCTTAAGGGTATATAAGCTTAGGTACCCAAACTCAATATACTACGCTGTTTTATATCATATAATACATTATAATTGTTCGGTGTTCTTATAATTTAACTTTTAACTTGATTTACTTCCAAGATTTTTATAAATTACATATTTATTTTCTTGTTACATAATTTTCACTTTCAACTACAATATATATAGCCGAATACGTATTCGGCAAAAAGATGTGATGTAAGAGAAAGATAATAATGAAATTTCAAAAATCTTGAAAGTAAATCAAGTTAGGGGTTGGAGTTTAAGAACGTTATAATGAATATATCAAACAAAATGACGTAATATAGTGAGTTTGGGTACCTAAGCTTATATACCCTTAAGGGTATATTCACTTTTTCATATATATATATATATATATATATATATATATATATATATATATATATATATATATATATATATATATATATATATATATATATATATAAGAAAAAAGTTTTTTTTCGCAATTAAACTTTTAAAACCGGTAAACCCTTACAAAACAACCCTTGTATTCGGTTAGTGCCGATTTTAAGGGTTAAACTGCAAAAAGAAAAAAAAAGATTGACTTTTTCGTGAATAAGATTAAATTTAAGGACTTTTCTAGGGATTTACTTTTTTATTTGTACTAAATTTATTTGAAGAATTCTTATATTATTAATTAAAAACATAAAATATAGATACCATCTACGTCACTTTCACTAAAAAAACTCATATTTATTTTATTAAAAAAACATAATAACGATACTTTATATATCATTTTTAGGATTTTTTGTGATTCTTTTTAATAAATAGCATTACTATAATCATAAATATATTATCTAAATGCAATTCTTAAATAGAACTTCATGATATATATATATATATATATATATATATATATATATATATATATATATATATATATATATATATATATATATATATATATATATATATATATGTCATTTAAAAACATATGTTAAATACAATTAATAAGACTTATGTTGATTTGTCGTAAAGAGTAAGTTTCTATGCTACATAATTTGTATAATGAAGCTCTATTTATGAATAATAGCCTCTAATAAGCTTTTATTTTTTGAGGTGTCGTTTAATTGTGAAAAATGTATTCAGTAAGTTATAGTTTATGGTAAACGTTTTATACCCATGATCTAAAATCTTAACAATAAACTAGCATTTGACATAGAAGTATACTTCTTACGACAAATCAACAAAATCCTCTTAAATTATATGGGATATAAATTATCATTATTGTGTTTCTTTAATAAATATTATCATTATTTTAAGTTTTTAATAAATAAATATAAAATTTCTTTAAATAAGTATAGTATATATAAAATAATCTCCAGATAAATCCTTAAATTTTAACCTTATTAAGGAAAAGTAATTCATTATTTTTTATTTTTTATTTTATTTTGCAATTGAAACCGAATACAAGAGTTATTATATTAGTGTTTATCATTTCGATAGTTAAATTGAAAAAAATAAATAAATAAATAACCAGGAATGCTTTTTTTATAAATAAAACAAAAATATAACCATTTTTATGCATATTTCTCAAATTAAAGTTAAGTTAGTTATTTTGTATTTGGAATGTAAAATACATTATAC